GGACTTCGGGCAGTGCTTACACCCAAATATATTGCAGAATTGGATTATAGTGCAGTGTGGAAGAGCCAGCCCTCAAATGTCCAAGTTCAGAGGGAGCTCAAAGTCTAAAAGCAAGGCTCATAGGAAGGGGCAGAACATAGAATCTAAGAGAGAGTGCAAGTGCATAGAGGGGATTTTGGGGAAGGCCAAGACAGACTGGTGGTCATACCCAGCAATTAGGAGTGTTGGCATACCCCTAACCAGCCTGTTAGCCACATTGTTTGGGAGTTAGGATCCTTTAAGGTCCAGACATGAGCAGCAATTTGGATACTGCCATGCCTGAACCTTAACTCAAACACATAAAAGGTAATAAGGGTATGGGGAATTCACACAGCAACAGATGCAAAGAGAACAACATATTCAATACAAAACATAAATAGCAAAGTAGACAAGATTGTTGAAACTGTAAAGCAAACACATAGGGATGAAGCCGAAAGTTAAATTAAAACATACCAATTTCAGGGAAATAAGAATAGAAGAGCAGTAGTAAAGCCAAATTGCAAACACACAGCCAGAAGATTTCAGAAAAGAGTAGAGTGATGAATTGAGAATGTAGGAGTATTGAAATTGAAAGTGTTCAATAAGTGTTGTGTCAGTGTTGAACTCAAGGTCCTAAAGAGCATTGAATTGGAAGTCCCTAAAAGTGCAGAAGGGTCGTGCCCTTTATAGTGCAGAAAGCAAGTAATAAAATGTAAGAAAATAGTTTTGAAATCAATCACATAAGGTCTCCCTTCAATTAAGAGATTCTGATTTCAAACGGGCAAGATAATTAGGGCAAGAGTTTGATCAGGATCTTTTCCAAAGTAGCACAAGATGGGTAAATACACAGAAGTTATTTAAGAAAAGAGTTTGATAGCAACACGGTTTGTGCAAATAAGGAAAGGCAATCAATCAACAGCCAATAAAAAAATCAGAAATTGAGTTTTGGTATTAATGAATCCAACCAAAAAAAGGTGAAGAAATGTTTAATTAAAGAAAATCAGTAACAATCAATCGATCCTTATTAAAAGGAATTCTGAATCAATCACAAGTTGACAAAACCTTTTGAAGGAAAAAATTCCTCATATATAAAGCATACAGACATATCAAACAAGAAAGAACTGTCATGCTAAAAAGCCTAGTATAGAAGAGTTCCAGGTCAAAGAAGTTCGAGTTCAGTACAAAGACTCAAAACGAGTCTGAGAAACCTAGAGTTCCAAAATAGAACCGTAGTCTTAAACACAATATCAAAACTCGCCAAAAACCCCAAACCCTAGGGTTTTCAACTCGAGTCAGATACAGAGAAAAGAAGACAAATAACGGAAACAGGCTCAGAGGTCTTTTTCAGATACTTATGAAAAAAAAGATGTAATAGCAAGTTTGAAACAACAAAGTGAGAAAACTGATTTGAAGCATAAAGAACACGTTTTAAGAAAGCTTGGAACTTAAACAAGTTTCAGAAGAGAAACGAGATAGTATAGGACTTAAGAGAACAATAGAGGAAACATATTTAACAAAGAACTCAAACAAAGTCCAGAAGAAGGCAACTAAAGACCTAAAAGCTTAGTGGAAAATACAGTAAAGGAACATAGGGGTAAACGAACACATAAGATAAACATGTGAAAGCATGATATAGAAACCAGTAGAAGAAAGAACGGAACATAATAGAAGAACATGCAAAATAAGGCAAACATAAAGATACAGGAGAAGAACATGCTAGATAGAAAAATAAAACATACAAGCATAGCATAGACAGATACACACAAAGAAAAGAAGAGGAAGAGTCAGAGAAACATTTCGAAAAAATTTCAGAAACCCTAAATCGAAGAGAACCAAAATTTGAAAGAAAAAATTGGGGAAAACGTTTTAAAGCCCCATTAGAGCACAGATATAGCATAGATTTAAGAAAATAACCAGATAAAAACCTCGAATGGCTAGGGTTTCAGAGAAACCTTAGAAATGAGAAAGGCTTGGAAGAAAAGTCTGATCTTGAGTCGGATGAGTTAGAACCAAGCTCGAAATGTTTTAGATGTGCCGGAGCAAAGGCCGGAGAGGCTTTAAAACCATGGATCTGAGAGGATCTGAACGGACACCACTGAGGTCAGACCTCAAAGCTTCGAACCCCAAACGTTTGAGAGTGGAGGGAGGTGAGTACAGGCCATCCATGGCCTGAGAAGCCATGGATTCTGGTGAGGTTGTGGTTGGAGAGGATGAGAGAGGCTAGGGTTCCAGGAACCTTCGAGAGAGTTTGAGAGAGTGAGAGTATTCAAAGGAAGCCAACTGATTGAAATGAGGGGATTAGGTTAGGGTTGGGGAATTAAAAAGGCAAGGGACGATCGTGGCCATTGATCAAAATGATCAACGGCCTGGATTGAAAGAAGGACCGAGCGGGTTAATTGGTTGGGTCGGGTTAAAATTGAAATTGGACCGGTCTAATTGGGGGTCAAGATTGGGTCAATTGGAGGGTCAATTTTGGCTATAATTGAAACAAATTGGGGTTATATATTAAATAGCCAGTTTTTCCCTTTTATTTTACAAAAAATAGTAAAAATAATTTTGAAAACAAATTAAAAGCACTGGATTAGTTAATAACACATAAATATTAATTTAAAAATACTAAAACCAATTTTATGATTATAAAAATGTTATTAAATCTTAAAGTAGGCTAGAATTGCAATTATATGCAATTTAGCTTTAAAAATACCAAATAAATTTGAAAATATATATAAAAATTACCTTAACTATATTTTGGTATAAATATGGGAATAAAATAAATTATTCACCAAAATTGATGATTCTGGGAGTAATTATTGATTTTGTACTGCTAAAATGGACAATAAATTGGTTTTAAAAATCTTTTAAAAATTGGGAAAAATACTAAAACACTTGGGCATGCTCGTACATATGTTATTTTGAAAGTATTTTGTATATATAAAAAATATACAGGAAAAAATTGGGTATCAACACTAGCTTCCACGAGTAGGCGCCATCACGACTCCCGAGGGTGGGAAATCCGGGTCGAGACATTGACGTTTAAATATTTTTTGGCTGTTATAGATAAACTTATCCAAAAATCAATTATTATTTTTTTATATGTTACATATAAAAGATAAGAAAATTTTTTAAATTTAAAAAATCTCAAATATGCATATTTCACTAGGTATATATTGAAGAAAGCTAATACATTATTAATAAATTCATAACTAAGCATACAAAGATTTAAACTCTAAGACACACATTTTAAAGCTACTAGGAAAATAAATTCTTTCAAGATTGATGGAAGAACTTTGTAATTGTAGTTGTTTCGTAGATTTCATTCTCTTACTACCGATATAATGCTTGAATTGGTGAGGATTCGTGTCTAAATTTTCAGCAAAAAGATATCTAATAGAAAATGTATCATGTGCATATCTTCAAATCTTATGTCTTCTGCGAGATAGAAACTTTGTTCAATAGAAAAGATGGTGTGCATATTTTTAGAATTATTATTAGTAATCTTAAAGATTCTATATAGCTGTTATAGACGAATAATTTTATAAAGAGCGTGTTACTATAAATATGATTGTTATTGTTATAAAAAGGTAAAAAATCGATTATAAGAAAAACTTGACTTTTATAGTGAATGATTGTTATATAAGGATGCTGCTATAGAGAGACCTGACTATATACGCATATTGTTTAGTTTAAATTGATCCGTCCATGAACCAAACAAATATTTTGCGAATATGATCCTGTTTGTTTATTAATTTTGTTAACTATTTGCTAAAATATACTTAATCCGTCCACTTGACACAGTCGACGAGCTAAAGAAATTCTTTCAAAAAGAAATATAATACCTTAAATTCTGAAAATTAAATGGCTGCCAACGCCAAAAGTGATGAGCCCACTGGTGCTAGCCACCTGTTTACCCACAGTTTATGTAATCAGCATCCCATCCATCTGCACCCCTTCTTCTAATTGGTTGAAATCATATCCCTGTCAGTTCATGCACACGCTCCTACATTATTTACAATTAATTGTATACACGTACTTACAGTTATAAAGAATTGTTATATTATTAAAATTATTTAAGAATCTAATCCCAAATAATTCTGTAAAACAAATACGGCATGAATAAATAACTTCCTAAACAACTGTCTACTCAAATTAGATTGTTAGTACACAAGTTTATTAGGTTTTCATTTCAATATATTCATTATATTCTGAGTGACATAAATATTTAGCATAGCACCAGAAAACATGAATGTGTTCTTGCTTTCTTAAATTTAGTACTAAAACACATAATTGAAGTGAATGACGTATAAACGATAACACTTTTTAACTTACTGTATGTTAAATGGTCATGATCTCATATGTTGACTGACACGTGTCCACATGCACAAACCCTCGGCTTCAAATCCACAGCCCTCCCTTCATTTCTACAGTGTTCAGCCACCTCTTGACTGTTACACTCACTATAAAATGAGCTTTATTTCCCCCGAGGAGATGATAAATCATTCTATGCTGAATCATTTTAGCTCTCAAATCAGCCTCCACAAAAGCAAAAAGCAATGTACATTTATACAAGTATTGGATATATAGTGTATACATTGTAACTTTATATGTGCAGCTTTCATTGATCTATTTGAGAACTCCACAAGTTAGTACTAGTAGGGTTGGTTTTAGTTTTCCGTTTTTCTCCTCTTTTATCTTTTTTTTTATTATTCATTCTTGGTAGGGTTCTTTTTCTTTTCTTTCCAGTAGATATTAGGTGGTTTTTTAGAATATTTAATTTGAAGGGAGTTGCTAATTTTTAGGAAAATATATAGAGTATAGAATTTAACTGATTTGGTTTGAAAATATAATGAACTTTTAGTACTTTTGCTTATTATTTTTATTCTCGATACTCTTGGCTTGACGGTTCAGGATTCATATAGTCGGCCTCAATTTGCTTGGGATTAAATCGTAGTTGCTGTTGTTAATTAGTTTGAGGCGTTTTAATATATAGCGAATTTGAAAAGTGGTGAAAATGAGCTTGAGTATGGCAGAGGATGAATCAACTTCAAAAATCCAACTTCCTGCAGATATAGATTGGGAAATGCTTGACAAATCCAAGTTTTTTTTCTTAGGTGCTGCGCTATTTTCTGGTGTCTCGAGCACACTGTATCCGATTGTAGTGTTGAAAACGCGGCAGCAAGTTATGACTAAGCAAATACCATGTCTAAAAATGGCAGTATCCATGTTGAGGAGTGAAGGGTACAGAGGATTTTACAGGGGATTTGGTACTTCCCTCACGGGGACCATTCCTGCACGCGTCCTTTACATGGGCGCGCTTGAAATGACCAAAAGTAATGTTGGAACTGTTACTGCTAAGTTGGGATTGGCCGAGGCATCTTCCTCGGCCATTGCCAATGCGGCTGCTGGTCTTAGCGCTGCATTGGCGGCCCAATTGGTGTGGACCCCGGTTGATGTTGTGAGCCAGAGATTAATGGTCCAACGAAGTGGAAATTCTAGGTATGGTGTTGTTGGATTGAAGTATTATAATGGTGGGATCGACGCGTGTAGAAAGATAATTTGTAGTGATGGTTTAAGGGGATTGTATAGAGGATTTGGCATTTCAATACTGACTTATGCACCTTCAAATGCAGTTTGGTGGGGCTCATACTCTATTGCTCAAAGAGTGATATGGGGTTCAATTGGCGGCTATTTTTGCAAAAAAGACGATGAGTGTAGTTATAGGCAGCCAAAGGGGAAGGCAATGTTGGCGGTTCAAGGGTTGAGTGCAGCATTGGCTAGTGGAATATCTGCATTAGTGACAATGCCACTTGACACTGTCAAGACAAGATTGCAAGTGTTAGATGATCAAGAATGGTGTTGTAGGAGAAGACCAACAATTATACAGACAGTGAGGAATTTAGTGAAGGAAGGTGGATTAGGTGCATGTTATAGAGGATTAGGTCCAAGATGGGCATCAATGTCTATGTCTGCAACAACTATGATCACTACTTATGAGTTCCTCAAGAGGTTATCTACCAAGAATCAAGAGAGCTTTGTTTGATGAAATCTTGCATACAAACAGCAAAGAAACTAAACAGGGAAAGGGGAGAAAATGTTGTTCTATATGTTCAATCCTTTTGCAGCTTTCTTTTTTCTTATCTTTTGACTAAATTGTAGTATAACACAGTGTAGATTTTGTAAAGAAAAATGTAGGAATATTTAGTAAATATTATTTTGTCTTTCATGTTATCTCTTGTCCTGCTCCTATTCTATAAATTAAAAGATGATGTTTCAGTCTAGAAAAATTGAAGCTTCTTTAGTGTAAACTTTTTGTGATTGTAAATTTCTTGAATATCAGGAAATTAAAGATTGGCCTCACGCTGCTTGATGCTAAACTCTACTCTTCAGAGACTGTACTTTGGAATTTGCAGGACATTTCTTGCCTTGCTATTTTCCTTTTCTTTTGACTGTATAAAAAGCTTTGCTCTTTTTGCCATTGGCCCCTATTTTACCAATGTTATTGCTCTTTTATCAATACAACCAACAAATTGCTCAAATTTGAGTCTTCAAAACGAAATACTGTCTTTTAGGTGTTTGGAAGCTGGTCAAATCAGTTTTTAAGCTTTTTTCAATGTTTGACAAAATAAAAAAGTACTTAAAATAAGTTAAAAGCTCCTTAAAACAAGTCAAAAGCAATAAGTTGGGCAAACCCAACTTATTGTTTTTTGACTTAAAAGTTATTTATGCTGAAAAGTCACTTATTTAAGTCAATCCAAACGAGCCTTTTATATTTCTTTTCTTTTTCTTAATTAAGCAAAAAGAGGTAAGTAAAGCATAGAAAGAATCACCTAGATTCCCGGTACATACATATTCATAATCTCTAGGGTTGTATTGGTTTGTTGAAACTTGTAAGCACGAAAAAGGTGTTGGGCAGCTTAATACACAAAGTATCTCGTGTTCACATTTGGTCCGAAAAGGGCCATACTCAAGGGGTGTGAAGCAGATATCCTACCCTAATACAAGTATTAGTGGTTGTGTCCACGATTTGAACCCCTAAATTATAGGTCACACAACTTTACCGTTGCTCCAAAATTCCTGAAAAGGTGTTGTGGTGGGAAAATGGTTGTAAACGAATTTAGACCTGCCCTTTTTTTTAATCTCAAAAAGTTCTTCAATTGTTTGACTAACAAATTAAGAAACAAAAGTCATCAAGTGTTCTAAGTCCTATAATATAAGAAAATATTATCACATTGTTGCTGAGGAGTGCAATTATAGAGTGGAGTAAAATTGTTGAGGATTAAGAGAGTCGTTTTAGAGTGCATCAGCAGAGAGCATTGAAGTGTGATTGTCCTTGTCTTTCCTCAAGAGACAGCAACTGTTGGTCAGAGGTTGGGTGGCTCCTGAGTCCATAATCGAAATGTGGTTCTTTTGGACTCAAAATACTGTTTTAGGTGTAAAAAATAAAGTTAGCATTCTATATAAAACGCGGTTATGAATCGCATTTTACCTTAACAGCCGTCTGGGACGTTAAAGTAAAATGCGGTTCATTACAGCGTTTTATATAAATCACGGTAATGAACCGCGTTTTACATGTTAGCTGATAAGACAACTATATAAAACGCGATTTATTATTGCGTTTCATATTTTGTGGGCCCACCAATAACTCTTCTGCGCTTAACTAACATAACAATAATTCAAATATGTAAAACGCCCTTTTAAATTACATTTTACTTCCAAAAATTTGA